CTGCACTTATTAATATAATAATTATAATCTTAGACTACAAGTTTCAAAATCTGGATCTAAATATTTTTTTATTCTAAGTCTATAGTTTGTATTGCGTCATATAGTTTTTCTTCCAACCACAATATCGCTTGGATGTTTCCTATGGTTATTCTGAGGATTCCTCCGACCGCCCGGATTTCTGCTTAGAGTTTATTACGCTAAGATTGCTTTGTTACAAAATCCCCTCCTTTAGCATCGATATCCCATCGATACTCTGTTCAAAGGTCTAGTATCATGGTAGGTTCCTTGCTACGCCGGTATCTTTTGCTGATCTTAAGTGGCATGAATCCTCTATAGCTGTTCTTGCGCTTGGTTCCTGGGAATTCTGGTTTCTTAAAATTTTTCAAAGGTTTTTCAAAAGATTCTTCTTAATTTTTCTCTAGTATCTCTGGTATTTCTGATGTCTCTGGTTCTGGGATTTCTAGTAATTCTGAATGTGGATTTTTCGGCTGGGCTTCTTCTTCTAGGTTGGGGATTTAATCATTGGTTACTTGTTCTGGTGAGTTCTCAATAATTGAACTGAAATTTCCCATAGTTCTCTGGATTTGAGCCAGCTCGGTTTGCAGCCTCCAGATTTTGTTGTACAAGTTGATATAGATGGGTTCTGATGTTTGAATGTTAAGAAAATCTAATACTGAGAATAAATCTTGGGTAATGTCTGGGTACTGGAAAATTTTAATTAATTTGTTTATTTCTGTTGGATTATATTGGAATAATGAGGTAGGGTTGAGTATATTAGGTGGAGGGATTGGGTCGATTAGGATGGGATTTATGAAAGTCGTTGAGTAGTTCCTAAACATGAGTGATATCAGATGTTAGTTGTTAGGTGGGTTTGTTCCAACCTTTCCACTAAAGGAGGTACTGAAGTTTTTGGTAGTGTATTCGTAAATCTAGGATTTTCTTGACTTTGTATTTTTCTTTGTTATCAACGGTAACTAGTGGGAATTGTTCTTTGTGGTTTTAACTAGGGAAAGTGTTATCTAGTGTTGGATACAGCAGGTTAATATAAAAAACGGGGTGAATTTTTATTGAAGGAGGAAGCTTCAGTTTATATGCTCTTTTTCCTACGGACTTAAAGATTTGAAATGAACCTTCCATTTTATTAGATAATTTCGGGCAGGGTCGTGCCGTTTTGATGTTTCATATATCTAGCCAGACATAGTTTTCTTCCTTGTAGTTAGGTGATGGTTGTCTGTGCTTGTTTACTTATTCTTATTGTATCTGTACGACGTGATTGATTTCTATATATAGGACTTCTTATAATTCTGATATTTGCTGTATAAATCCTGCAACCTCTTGATTTCTAGAGGGTTTCCTAAATCTTTAGAATTTAAAAGTATCTAGGTTCTATCTATAATTTACAGCGAATAAGAAGATTCCAGTAATGTCAGATATCTTGTTATTGTAGGAATATTCAACTAAAAATAGCTATTCAACCCAGTCGTCCTGTTGATAATTGATTTAAGCTCTAAAATATTGTTCTACTATAAAATTGATTCATTCGGTTTGTCCGTCAATCTGGGGGTGATAGGCAGTGCTAGGTCGATAGTAGATCTTCAAGCAATTATTGACTTCATCCCAGAATTTGTCTAAGAAGTTCTTTCCTTTATCTGAAATAGCTTCTTTAGATAGTCCGTATAATTTCCATATGTTCCTAAGGAATAGTCTGGCTAATTCTCTAGCGTTAAGTTTTTTTGTTGTCGGGGTTAGATGTATCATTTTGGAGAGTCTATCCACGGTGACAAGGATTACATCATATCCATTAAATTCCGGTAATCCAATAATTAGGTTAAAAGAGATGTTTTATTAATTTTATTCTGTGATCTATAATAATTGCAGTAATCCTTAGGGTGTATTCCTAAACGCCTTGATTCGTTTGCAGATGTGGTAGTTGTTGACATAACGATCAATATCCTTTTGAAGTTTTACTCATATATATTGTTTTTAAACCAGTTCTAGCGTTTTTGCTTTCCTTGGGTGTCCTGCTGTGGGATGGTTATGGTGTTGCTGTAAGATTTCCTTGCGGATTTCCTTATTATCAGATACTACTTTTCTATTATTATAGTAAAATTTACTTTGTTCTTCTTTCATCTCTAATATTTCAATCTTGAAATATTGTTTGTCTCCTCTTCTAAAAGTTTTTATGATGTTTTGGATATAAGAATCTTCAAGGGCTGCTGCTTACCAGATTTCTTGCGTTGTTATAATACCAATCTATTAGATTTTTTCAAGTGGTAGCAATATTCTAATTCGATTTTTTATACGCTCATCCTCCTTTTCCTAAGAGAAGTCCCTCGATCTTCTGGTTAATGCATCGGCCTTGGTGTTGGTTTTTCCAAGAATGAAAGTTATTTTAAAGTTGAACCGAGATAAGAACTCTATTCATCCTATTTATCTTTATCTAAGGTACTATTTGGTCATAAAATATTCCAAGTTTTTGTGGTCTGTGAGGATATGTACTTGAGTATAGACACTCATTAGATATCGTTCCTATTCTTTAAATGCTTGAATTACTGATAGGAGTTCTTTGTCATAGATATCATAGTTATATTCCGCCAGTGTTATCTTTTTAGATTTATAGGCTACAGGGTGCCAGAAACTGTTATTATGCTTTTAAGAAAGGATTGCGGCGTAGATAAAGTTTGAAGCATCAGTTTTTATTCGTGTTTTCAGTACAGGATTCTAGTGTTTTAGTATTGGTTCGGTGTAGAATGTTTATTGGAGTATCTGAAAGGCATTCTTTTCTTCTTTTTCCCAATGGAATATTCTATCCTTTTTGGTTAAGTCGTAGAGAAGTTTAGCTATTTTTGCATAGTCTTTAATGAATCGTCGGTAAAAGTTTGTAAATCCTAGGAAAGATTGTACTTCTTTGACAGCTCCAGGTCCTTCTTTCGGTTCTTCCCAATTGAGTATGTCTTGAATTTTAGCAGGGTCCATCCTAATTTTATTACTTCCAATGATGTATCCTAGGAACTTGGTTTCTTTAGTAAAGAATTTGTATTTAGAGAGTTTAATATAGAGTCCTGCTTTCTGTAGTGCTTTAATAATTTTCCTCACATGGCGAATATATTCTTCTCTTAAGTCGCTGTAAATGCAGATATCATCGAGATATACTACACAGAATTCGTCTAGGAAGGATCGTAAGGCTTCGTTAATGTAGACTTAAAAGGCAGCTAGAGCGTTTATTAATCCAAAATGTACTACTTAGAACTCGAAATGTCCATATCTGGTGCAAAAGGCTGTTTTTTCCTCGTCTCCTTCAACTATTCTGATGCGATTGTAGGCGCCATAGATATCCAGCCGGGTGAAGTGCTTGGCTTTTCTAAGTCGATCCAAGGTCTCATTGATTCGTAGCAAGAGGCATCGATCTTTGACAGTGATGGCATTAAGTTTTTTCCAATCCACACAAAGTCGTAATCCGCTATCTTTCTTAGGAATAAATAGGATGGGTGCTCCCCATGGGCTGTTAAACTTTCGAATAAATCCTTTAGTCATATTTTCTTCTATCCAGGGTTTGAGGACTTTGAGGTGTTCTTCGCTCATTAGTCTTAATGGCTTCTAGATGGGCTAAGCTTCTGATGGTATAAGAATTTTCATGTCTTTTTTTCGTCGTAATAGCAGGGTGTTTCCTTTTTTTTTCGAAAAAGCTTCGGTAAGATCTTGGAATTCATAAGGAAGTTTTGTGGTTTCTTCGATTTCGATTGTGTCATCAATAAATGTGACTTGTTTCTATTTTCTTCCCAGGCTGTAAATAGCAAAGATAGGTCTTTGTTTCATGGTTCTCTTGAAGGCTTCCGCACTTACAATGATAATCTTGGGTGAGCAGTTCATGTATACTTAATTATTTTCCCAATTGATATGGATTTTATGCTTTTTGTGCCATAGTTTTCCCAGATTTAGAGGTTTAGTAGTATTGACAATATCAGCATTAACGATCTCTTCATGATCCTAAATTTTTATTTTGAACTGAGTCATTTTCTTAACGGATTCTCTAATTCCATTGAAGTATTCTACAGATTTAGGAATCTTCTTAGGATAAAGTGGAAAATTATTCTTAATTACAAACTTGCGATTCATATGTATTCCTGTATCGCCATTATTCAGACATGTAAGGGTTTTAACAAGTTTCTAAGGATAAAAGTATAAGATGACAAGGATTTTAGTATAGAATTCAAATGATGTTTTAGTTTCTTCAAGGTTTAAACAGGAAAATGGATTCTAAGATATAAAGGAAATTTGTGGTATTTTTCGAAGCTAGGGAATTCTCGAAGTGATAGGTCGGGTCCTACCTTGCTGTGTGTCACAATTCACAGTTAGGCCTACTTTTTTCCTTGTTTTTCCTTGGCGTCTTCTTGTGGATAGTATCCCAAAAGAGATGCTATCTTGTTTTGGATATCCTCATGGGTGAGTCCTCGGATGTTCTGGTTTCTAGTAAAACGGGGGTCGTAGGGGATACGTTGGGTTGGTCTTTCCTGGGATCTTTTGTTTGGATAATTGTTAGCGAAATGTCCTCTTTCTCCACAGTACAGGTATAGCTTCTGAACTCGGTATCAGTCTTTTTCTTCCTAAATTAATCGTCCTTGAATGTTCCCAATGGACTGATCCATAGGTCCAGGTCCGAAATAATTATTTCTTCAGGTTTGCTAAGGCTGACCAGTATTGCTGGTCCTTGTTGGTCCTTTTGATACTAAGGTTGAGGTATTCTTCTTTTAGAATCCCTTAGTCATTAAATTTCGAAATTTCTTTTTTGCATCCAAGGTTCGCCAATTATTATCAAAGTGTTAACAGAAAATAACAAAATTATTAAAGTCTTTAGGGAGCGTTTCCTTGGTAATCAGGAATTCTTCTATTTCGATACATAAACCATGTCGTAAGTAAGCGATCTGGACAGCATCATTGTAGTTCAGGCATCCCATAAAATGTCTGAATTTTGTCAAGTAGGTAGAGAAGAATTTATTAGCCTATCTTAGGTTTCTTAGTTCCTGTTCTGCAGTTCCAGTAGGGTCAGGATTTTCGAAGGCTTTTTTGAGCCATATAGTAAACTCGGCGTAGGTATCCCAGTTCCATGTTTTATCGTCGGTGTCATACTCATTGAAAGCTAATTCTGCTGGGTTTTCTTTAAGAAGACTGACGGCGTACGCAATCTTCTTTCTGGATATAGCGAATTTAGTAGCTTCTCCTTTGTATTTATTATTGAGCTGGGCCAAAAAGTTTCGTAATTCATGGGGCTTAGTGCCGTCGAAGGGGTCGGAATCTGGAAATTTGATGCTTGGGACAGCTGTCGGGGCTGCTGTGGGCATGCTGTTTCTGAAATGTTCAAAGACTGCCATCATGGCTTTGGTTTGTTCAATGGTAAATCCTGGTAGGGCGACGACCGCAGTTTCTCCCTCGGCGTCTTTTCCCTTGGAGGACTCGCCTTTGGGTGGGGCCGGTGCTGACATTTGGGTATTAGGTTGATAGGGTTGCGAAGCAACAAAGTGTAAGAGATCGTATAGAGACTAGTCGAGATATCAAGGTAATACACAAATGTCACAAGGCAGAGTGATGTACTAGTGTGCATACAGATTGATATTTAAATTGTTACTTAGTTTCTAAATATATGACAGCGAATATAGCGGTTTAAATAGATAATTGACAAAGGAAATAACAAAGTGAATTGGATAGGAGTTAAGTCTAAATTGGATATTTGGATATATAAAATATTGAACTGGATAGGAGTTAAGACTTCATAGTTTGTTAAATTGGACAGGAGTTAAGATTATATAGTTTATTGAATTGGACAGGAGTTAAGTTTGAACTGGATATTTGGATATATAGAATATTAAACTAAACAAAAGTTATTCCTACATAGGTTAGGAAGTTTATATAGGGCAAGGGCCTAAATAGGCCTTATGCTGTACTTATTAATATAATAATTGTAATCTTGGACTACGAATTTTGAGGTTTGGATCTGGATATTTCTTTATTCTAGATCTGCGGTTTGTATTGCATCATGTGGTTTTTCTTCCAATTACAATATCACCTGAATGTTTCCTATGGTCATTCTGAGGGCTCCTCCGGCCGCCCGGATTTCTGCTTGGAGTTCATTACGCTGAGATTGCTTTGTTACATTAATTAATAAATGAAAATTTTTGGTATTAATTTATTATATAATGTTTGATATTAAAATTATAATTATCAAATGTTATTAATAATTATTAAATTAATAATTATTAATAACTATTAATAAATATTATATGTATAATTATTTATAAGAAAATTTTATTATATATTTAAAAATTTTTAAGTAATAGTAGTACTTAATTTATTTTAAAACTCCATTAATTAATTTATTAATTTAGTTTATAATTTATTTAAATAGTATTTAGTTTTATAATTAATTATTGTGTTATATTTTTTATTTATATAATTTTATATTTTTATCCCAAATATTATACTACCTTTTAAAAGATTTAAATATATAGAGTTAAGAAACATAGCAGAATACTAAGCTGTTTTAAAAAAACCTTGTCAAAAAATTCTAGGATAGGTGTAATAATTAAATTAAACAAAAATTGTTCCTACATAAATTAAAAAATTTATATAAAATAAAAATTTAAATAAACTCTATATTGTATTTATCAATATAATAATTATAATCTTATATTATAAATTTTGAAATTTAGATTTGGATATTTCTTTATTTTAAGTTTATAATTTATATTATATCATATAATTTTTCTTCCAATCATAATATTATTTAGATATTTTTTATGGTTATTCTAAGGGTTCCTCCAACTGCCTGGATTTTTGTTTAAAATTCATTATGCTAAGATTGCTTTGTTACAATAATACAATATTTTATATATTTATTAATAAATATAAAAGAAATATAATTTTAATAATTATTTAATAATAATATTTATTATTAATTCATACTTTCTTATATTATCTTAACAATTTCTAATTTAAAAATTTATATTAACTATTTAATAATTAAATTATTATTTATTTAACTTATTGATAATATTATAAAATATTATTTTTATTATTATTATTATTATTATTTATCATACACGCTTGCAAGCCTTTGGCTTATGGCGGACAGAAAAGAAAATTAAAATACAGTGCACTACC